AGGTTCAGGGGAGAGATTGTAGGATCACTGAGCAGCTGTCTTAGCTAACTGGGGCCAAAACATTTAATTAGCAAGCTATGTAAGATGAGATGGGCATAAAGCTAACCTCACAGGTTTCTCCTGACTTTTCCCCATTAGTTGATTTTAGCAAACAAAAATTTAATCCTGGTTCTCGGCCAATGTCTCTCTCCCTCTTTCTTATACTGGTTAAGACATTTTGAATTATTATGTAGCTTTCTTTTAGGACTCCAGCTCCATGGTGGATCTGGATTTGGCTTCTGCATCACTACCCGGGTCACACCAAAGGATGGAGTCATGAAGGAACCAGCAAGGTCTTCCTAGTGAGTGTGTACCTCATGAGGTATTTAGTCTGAACCATCAGGAGATGCCTGCTGATGCTCTTGCATCTTCCTCTCGTGGCTGTTGCATTGGACTGATTTTACCTTGCCTACCCACATCTTGGTAGGAGGTAGATCTGGCACTATATTTGATGCACACAAGCCTTTATATGACCACAGTCTATGCTGGCAAACTGGTAGCTTGGTGAACCTGCTTACAATACCAGTTATTACATGCAAAGTTAAATTGAATTTGGGTTAAACAAAACAAAAATGTAAATGAGGGGATTATGTAAATTGGCCTCAACATTAGTGTTCTTCACTGGACTTTGGTAGGATTATTCAACAGCAAAATGATTTGAGTGTCTGAACGATCTGCAACTATCACGTGTAAAACTGTTTCCTTTGGTCAGCACCAATGTGCAAAGGGCTTGGAAGGAGAGCAGGGTTTCCCTCTGTGATGACAGAATAGTGATGTGATGACAGAATAGATGTTTGGTTCACAAACAAGGGTTTCATGTTGCTGGGCTTATTGGATTACATCATTATGTCCCAGTTTTCAGCATTTGCTCCGATATATCATTTCAAAGTCCTGTTGTAATGCTCCTGCCATGTTGTCATAATATCATGGCTTGCATTTGCGACCCAACAAGTACACTCCACTCAAAGCTTTGATTTGCTGATATAAGAAGCAAAAATTACTCATCCTAATATGGCAAAATTCAAAGCGACTTTAATAAACTGCAGTTCCCATGATTTTCTTTGACTGTTTAATTGATATAAGAATGCTTTAAATGTATGGTATGGATGTGACCTTAGTTGGCCATCTTACTACTGTTTGGGATGTGGAACCAATGGCCATTTCTGAATCAAAATTGTTTTGTGCGTTGTGCAAAGAAGATGTCAAGATGATTTCTGGAATCCTGAGAACATGGGAGATGGACCTTCCTTCAGTGCTCAGTTTTTTAAAAAACTGAATCTGTTTGGGAGTTTTTGATGAGGACTCTACTGGATGAAGGTGTGATCAACAGAAAACATTTTCTGTTATCTGAAGCTGAGGGCACCTGTACATACAAGGGCTTCTGAAGATGATATAGGGACTGGGCAGATAGATATGAGAGGAACTCCATGCTTAAGGTACATATGATGATTCTTTTCCGTTCTCTTGTGCGACTGACACACTGAAGGCATTTTACTAGATTGCTGGAAGTGTTTGGCTCTAGCTGAGCTAGTCCACTGGGGGTGGGCTTTATCCAGCATCTCACTTCTTTCCAAATAGCTTGAGAAAAAGCCATAACATGGTATTGATTTCAGTGCAAGGATATATAAGAAGAGTCCTGTTGGATCATGTCAAAAGCCCATCTAGTCCGGAACCCTTTTGTCCCTAGAAGACCACAAGCAGAACCTGAGTGCAACACCATTCTCCACACCTGTGATTCCTTTCAAGAGGCGTGCGCATGCACACACACACACACACGGGACTCTCAGGAGGGGAAAAAAACTATAACAGATGAAAAATCTGTTTGTCCTGTTTTTAGCAGCTTTCTTTCTTTCTTTTTTGCAACATGAGAAAAACTAGATATTACTTCACCCCCCTGTCAGCCAAACTGAACACTCTCTTCGATGTTAAATAAATAATGACATGAAATGTTAATATCACCGGTGGTTTTCCTGAAAGAATGGAGTTCTGAACACACAGGTCTTGGCAGGTAGAAAATGTTGAAGTTTAATTTTAAATGTTATATTTGTGTTTGTTGGGTGGGGGGAGACTGTGCTGCAGTTGGAGTCTTTTTGAACTGCTGCAAACAGCTTCAAAAGACTGTTGCGGTTTGTGAGAACATACTCACCATTGTGTCAAAGACGAGGTCTGGGACTATGGGAATTCCCTCTTCCCCACATGCAGATGCTGTGCAAATCTTCACCAGGTTTTGTGTTGCAAGCATGCGCTAGACGGGGTGGGTTCGGTTTCAGTGCAGACACAGACAGGCAAATAACATTTCTCAGGCATTTCTGTCCACCTTTCACTGACATCTTGGAGCAATCTGAATTTCAATTGGGTATTAACTATTGACTGCTAGGCACTTCTCCTTGGAGAAGGAGTCCAAGATTTGATTAAACTAAAACTGCAGATGTTACAGAATATGTCCCCCTGGAGTAGATGCTGGATTCCTCCATCTATATAAGTTACATTGTGCAAACGTCATTTTTCTTGCTTCGAATAACCCCCTCCTAGTCATGTCAGCTCAATGTGTCCCTTACAAGGCTTTATGCTGATCGTTTCTCTGAAGATGGAAAATGCAAGACACATTTGCTCTTTTGGGCCAAGAAACAGGGCCATCAAATGTACCTAGGATATTTTAAATATCAAAATGTCTGAGAATTATGGGCCTTGCTCAGGGTGTGGATGAGTAGTCTTCAGCCTTCTCAGTTTTACTTTGTGGGTTTGTTTTTCACTAAAACCCAAAGGTCTACCAACCAGAGCCAGGTGCAATATATATATATATATGTGTGTGTGTATATATATATATATATATATATATATATATATATATATATATTTTCTCTATAAATTCCAAATAAATACATACATAGTGATGGGGGTTAACTGACATGTCTTGTTTAACTGGTCTGGCTGAGAAGAGAGAGGGAGATGGAAACACTGAGAGGAGATAGAAGGGGGATGATTCAAGTCCAACATGAAAATTAATATTTTTAGAAAATGAAAAGCACAGCTCAACATATTGAAAATGTGAATGGTTATTAGTACTCGGAATGGAGGGATCTATTTCAGCCCCCCTGCTTTTTGGAGAATTCTTCCCTGACACCTTGGTTTCCCTAACAGGTTCCTCAAAGGCAGCACAAAAGGATGGATGAAATACCGTATCTGGAATCCGTTCCAAGAACATGTTCAGCTGGGAGATGCTCTGCTTAACATTAGGCTACGAAAATGCTAGTGCATGTGTGCCTGTGTGCATGTGTGTGTGTGCGCACGCATGCATACATGCGTGCTCCAGGCTTCTGAAAGATAGGACCTTGTGTGGAGCCCCATTTGTTTTCCTTCTGTGTCCTCCCCAGGCAAAAGGGCTCCCTTCCTTCTAGCTGAACATCTATCTACATGGCTCCAAACATGCTTCGCCAGGTATGTGCTGACTGAAGTGTGGACTGGCATGCACAGCTCCATCAGATGTGCCGACTTTAGATTTTCTTGCTGAATGAAAGCTAGTAATAATTTTCCGCTCACAACAAAAATACTAAGGTTGCTACTTCATTCTTGTGTCTCATAGCCCAGATTTTTGTGTGTGTGGTAAAACAACCCATGGGGCATGATCAATCCAAAAATTTTTGGCTATTGATTTCATGAAGAGGTTGGCACAAACTTTAACCAGTGGGTTTTTTTTTTTTAAAAAAAAATGCTTAACTGATATTGTGTCCTGATTTTGTTCTATAGCAACTTACAGAGCAATCCTAACCGTGTATACCCAGAAATAAATCTTATTTAATTCAATAGGGCTTTCTCCTGGGTAAGTGGAGTTGGGTTTGCAGCCTTAGTTATTATTATCTACGGTAAAATAGTACCACCTTTCAGGAAATATAAGCAGCCACCTGTAGTAAGCAGAGATGATAAAAATGGGGTGCCTTGCAACATTTATCTTTCACTGGGGAAAATGAGTTTCTGCCAATACACCCAACACAGACTGATTACATTGCATTGTTTTCTCCAGTCTTTAACAACTAGTTTGGCTTATCTATTGAGTGTTGGTTCTTGTATATTGGATAAGGCCCCTGCGCAGTCTGTTACAGGAAACAAGAAAGTGTGAGAGGGATGAATTCTAAAAGTGTCTGCATTTATTAAAGCCCAAAGAATTCTGGAAATACATTTTTCCTTCTTTAGGGCTCTCCAGGTGCTGTTGAGCTACAATTCCCACCAGCAGCAGTGAGCATGGCCAACCAGGGATCTAACAACACTTGGGGGAAGGGTAGAGCATGACACTCTTAATCTCAAGGTCGTGGGTTTGAACCCCACATTGGGCAATAGATTCCTGCATTGCAGGGGGTTGGATTAGATGACCCTTCCAACTCTACAATTGTATGATTCCATGAGGGGGCCACAGGTCCCTCATTCCCATGCTATGGGGCTTTCCTGAATCAAATTGCTATAGAACACAGTCTCTTGAAAATATCAAAATCATTCCTGTTTCTATTTGTAACTTAAGGCATAGGACTGTGTCTCGCTTTGTAGGACACAACCAAAAGGAACAAAAGGAATGTTGTAGGACACAACCGGCATGGAAAGTCAAGAACTGTCAGGGCAAGCTGATGGCTCTCTTACAAGCAAGTGGATTCCATCACATCTAGCTTTCCTGTACTATGTCTGGAAACACACAACTCTGTCAGAACAGAAATGGCGTCTTCATCAATGTTTTAGATGTCTAAAGAGTTGTGTCCTTTATCACATAGAAAAACAATGTGAATGTTCCTCCAGATCTTGAAGTGGTGATGTCCCACTGAGGGGGGGGGGGTATATGGGCAGTCACATAGGAATGGGAGAGAAATTTGTTTCAATTTGCATTGAAAATGAACTTGCCAAATCCTCATGTTATAGAATCATAGAAGGGATCCTGAAGGTTATTTAGTTCAACCACCTGCAAAGCAGGAATCTTTTGAACAATGTGAGGCTTGAACCCAGGACCCTGAAATTAAGAATCTCATGCTCTACCAACTGAGCTATCCCAGTGTTCTGAAACAATATTTGAACAGAAACACAGCCATCCTCCGAAATCTGCACTTCTCTGAAATTTGCAGTGCAATTCTCCAGCTAAATATTGTGTGCAAAAAATGCATATATTGAGATAAAGTGCCACATATAAATGCTCCCCCTCTTTCACATGTCACTGGGTAGCCTTCCCTGGAGTGAAAAAGGAACAAAGCCCAGCACCCTTGGGAATAGGAGCTGGCATCCTGATGCATTTATCTGCTTTCTTTTGCCTAGGATTTATTGCAGCCAAGTTGCATCCCACCAATAAAATAACTGGTGCTGATGGTGCAGTTTGTCAGAGAGTGAGTGCTACAGAAAAGCTCCAACTGCCCAGCACCACTGATATGTCTCACATATTTTGCATGCTGTCAGTGAATTAGATCTCTGCACCCTGGGTGTGTCCAGTAGGGGTATGCAGAGTACACCTGTGTGTGGAAAAACACGTCGCCTTGGAGTAGCAAGGCAGCGCTAACTCAAGTTCTGGGCTTCCAGAAATCTCTTGCATGTGATTTTAAAATTCAAATTATGAAGGCTGATTTCTTTTAAAAAATAAAATAAAATAGAAAAGTGTGTACTTTCTGCTTATCTCTAAGCATATACCAGAAAGGGAGGGGGAGGGAGCAAGAAAAGGTGGAGGGGGGAAAAAGAACACAAGTTCCTATTGGACCTTTGGATGAACCAGAGTGAGCATATTTTCCCCGTCTCTCCTGAAGCATCATGATTCACTTTGGGGAACTTCATTTATATGCACATCATATGCAATCTGACTGACTCCTACTGTACCTTTGAACAGATCCAATCAGATGCCCATATGCATGTAAATGAGGCTCCTGGAGCTGTGTTCTCAGCAGCGAGGAAGAGGAGTTAAAGAGCAGCGTCTTCGGGAGACTTGCTACTGTGACAATCTTCTACTAAAACACACACACACCCCTCCCCACCTCTCTCTCTCTCTCTCTCTCTCGGATCCATTTTTATTTCATTTCATTTAACTTCCCAAGCCAGAAGAAAGACCCCGCAACTCACTTCTTTTCTAAACAGCAGCAATTCATGTGAACAAGGATGATCTGCAAAAATGGGAAGGGATACCAGGCTCGGTTTCTCCCCCAGCCTTCGAAAACAACGCTGGTGTCACAAGTCAGTGAGTGTGAAAAAAGAGAGAAAAGAATAAAAGAAACAAACAAACATTCTGCAACTATTGTCTGAAAACAGGCAAAATAATTAAAATTATTATGGAATAATCACCTTGCGTGCAACGCCCGCCCGCTCTTCAGAGCAACAATCCAAAACAGCTCCCCTAAAGCAGGCCCAAGGGCAGAGGTTCTGTATATCATTCAAAGACCATCTGTCATTGAATGGCTGGAGCCCCTTCCCAGTGTTCAGAGGGCAGGCTTGAAATGGAGCCTTGGCACTTCTTTTTCCATTTGCTAACAAACAGCAGTGATGGCAGATAAATATGGCAAACAATAGGCGCTCCTAATGAACTGGAAAGGGATGTGGATTTTTGCATCCAGCACCAAGAAGTTCCTGTTCCTGCACTAGGCTCCAGGGATTCCCAGAGCCTGGTTCTGCCATGTGGCTGAACAGGCAGACATCTGCAGCCCAGGCTAGGCTTTCAAGAACTCAGCCAACCTGCTAAGGGGTTCATTTAAATAAGATCCAATTTAAACACACATGCGCAGGAAGAGAGAGAGAGAGAGAGGTTATTTTGGTGTCCAGGAAATGATAAAAGCAACATGGAAAGTGACACTGGCATACAATAGTAATACAAACACACACACACACACACACACACACACACAGAGATGAGAAAATTTATTTTTTGCATTGCATTTTTCAGGTACTTATGTCCATATCTTTGCAGTCAAAAGTGGTGGATCCTGCTACCATGCCACACAGCATACAGCACCTTTGTTTTATTGTCTTAGGGGATAAAAACTAGGATCCAATTTCAGGCACAGCAAAGTACACCTTGCATATCAAGCCAGAATATAGCATCAGCTCACACATTAAGGGGAGGGGATCCTAACATATTAAGCAGTCATTCCAAGTTGTTAGTGAGCATCTTTTGACAATGGAAAAAAACAACAATAACAAGAGCCATGAAAATAAACACATAGGGTGAGATCCAGTGCTGCCATTTGGCCATCTGCTGCCATAAGAAAAGTTGAGCCAATTTTCACCAATTTTTCATCCCCTCTGTAACTTCTTATCTCTCTCCCCTCCCCAAAAAAGTGTTCCACAGGATTGGGGGCCTTCCAGAGCAAAATGGAAGATGGTGTGGAGAGTTGCAGGGGGAAAACCACCCCCTTTAAAAAAATGAGCGTAGGGGGTGCCAGTGTGGCACCTTCCTGTCAGCATCTCTTATGGTGCCCGCAAAAAGTCTCACTAAATATCTCCTCAAAAATCCACAGGGCATGAGAGACAGTTTGCTCTTCCTGCTCAGCTCCTGTTTGCAGTGGCTTGACCTCTCCTACACATCTGCATGGCAGCCATTTTGTGACTGGTGCCTGTAGCACTTTTGCAAAATTCCTATTATGTCCACTGGCCCAAAAAGGTCAGTGGTTCCTACAATTGTGCTTGCATCAGTTGGATCAAAAGCCATCCCTGGAACAGAGCAGCAACACTGGATTTCACTCGGACATTGGATTTCAGCCATTGTGTGAACTGTGCATCACAAATAATCCTTTTATGACACAAGAAATGTAATCCGTAATAGCAAGGGGATAGAACCCTCTTCCATCCATTTACTAATTTTTTATTTTAAAAAATGTTCTATACAAATTATTCTAGGAGGATTTTTTTAAATATAATGAACCAAAGTGGAACATTTCAGTGTTCCCAGAACAGATTAGAGGGGATTAAAGATCAAGGGAAGGCAGCTGGTCAGTTTACCACACATTGTTAATGTGGAAATGTGCCACAAAGATAGAGCATGGAATATGGCGGCAAAAAACCCTTGCTATTAAGGAAATGCAACCATTCCAAAATTTAAAGGACAAAATAAAGGATGCCTAAAGAAGAAGGAGAGACGATGCTATCATAGCCACAAAAATATGTAATCAAATTAGAATAAGTTGTGTCCAATTAAATGATGTGAACGTATTGTAATGGTTAAGTGTAATTGGATACACGGGGTTGAATAAATATATCGGAATCAACTAAATCTCATGTAATTTGCTTGGAAAGCTTAGAGTGGAATTAAGCGCCTGTTTGCCTTTACCCTTTATAGTGCTATAGTTGTAGTATATACATAAGAGAATAGGAAGCTGGCTTATACTGAGTCAGGCCATTAGTCCTGTGCCGATGCTCATAACTCTGACATTGACTGGCTTTAGGAACCCGAGGGAACACAATGGGTGCAACTATAGCCACAGAACTTTCCCCCATCCAAATGAACTGAATTTCTCTTCCACCCCTAACTCCCAGTCTTCGCAATACTAGTATATTGCTAGGAAAAGTACTTTCTAAATTTATTCGTTTCCATTTTTTTTAAGTGTTATAGGTTTTCAGGGGTTTGTTCTGTATCTATTGCCTTTCAGGATTAAAGGGCTGTCCCCTCCTCCCCTCTGCCATGTTTTACAGAAGAAGCTGACAATTTTGTTTTGCAGTGCTATTGAGGTCTGAAGTGCATCCCTGTCAAATGCCACCGCTGCAACTCTTAAATATTTTACTTGCCGGTGTAACTCTACTCTCAATTGTTCTTCTGCGACTGTCTGGAGTGATTCAGGATGCTGAAGCAGCTCGTTGCCATATAAATATTCACAGAGTTTGCAGGCTTTGCAGTAAATATATCAGAATCCGCAGCTGCCCAGCCTTGTTGCCATTGATTATTCCTAACTAATGCCACACAGATTGAGAAAGCTGGGACTCTGTTAGCATGCGGAATCTGGATGGTGGCACCAGATCACTTCTGATAGCTCAAAAGAGTGGTTGGATCAGGAGGAGTAATTCTTGTGTAAGAACTGGAAATTTTGTTTCCCAGGCCTCCCTGGAGCAAAACAAGTTGATCTTGTTCAACTTCACTGTCAATTTTTATTGTTACTTTTATCTAAGCAGGAGGCTGGGGAAACCTTGATCTCGTCCAGAAGAGTATTTTTCCTAGTGGTGTGTCAAAACCTGTCCTTAAAAACCAGATTTTCACAAGAGTAAAAAGTCTTCATCTGATAGTCTCCCCAGCTCCCCATACTTACAGAAAAGCCTTTTCAGGAAGCTTAGCTGCCGAGGAGGCTGAAAAATGACTTGTAGAATCATAAAAAAGATCACTTACAACCTCCCTTGGCCACCTCAAATTAAAATGAGCACAAACAACACCCTGAACCCAAGCCATAAGAATTGTAATGATATTTTTTTCTCTCTCCCTCTGATCATTTTCAAATGCAAGTTCCTTTCTCATTAATTTATATGGAATGGTTAAAAAAAAATATGGAAGAAATTTTTGGCACAGCCCCCGTTTTCACCCATGCATCCTGGGCATCTTGTGGAATTGACAAGACTGACATTTTCATCTGTTTACTGCTTCTTGAGCATATTTGACTGACATAGATGAAGATGATTTATTTTTATTTTCTGTCTGTCTTGCTCATAACTGTCACCATCCAGAATGCTACTCAGCCACCTAAGCGCTGCAGCTCTGTACACTGCAGCCATGAAAATAATAGACCCAATGGCTTGAAGCTCCAACAGACACTGGGCAGTCTGGCTTCTCCTGGCTGTCATTCCCAGAGTGCATAGGTAAGAATATCCCTGCAGGATCAGGTCAAATGCCCATTTAGTCCAGCATTCTGTTCTCACAGTGGTCAACCTATGAGCAGCTTGATAACCTTATTTTCATTATCCTTTTCAAGGCTCATCGAGGTCCTGCCATAGATTTCTATAATGGCATTAGGATAGTGAAAGTCCACCCCCCCAAACCTGCATGGAACTAGTAGCATTTCAGAGAAAGCTTGAAGTTCCTCCAACTTAGCAACCTCAAATTCACTTCCA